CATCATTTAAATTAGTGCAACGAAGAAGCCTATTGAATTTGAGCAATTTCCGTTAATTATGCCATGAGTTATGGCCCTTGTTTCACTGTGTTGTACCTTGTGAACACTCTAACATTGTTTGCAAATTGTGTAAAAGTATGCAATACGAAGGTTGTCAACCCTCTAGGGGTCACAATTTTTGTCCGATTCTGATGAAACTTAAATCATATCTTTATACCCAAAGTTGTCAGTCCCTTTTGATATTTGCGCATTTCAGACCATAACTTTCTGGATTATTGCCCCTGATTGTACAAAAAATCCTGTTTGTTTTTAGCTTGTTCTCTATCCATCTCTTGCAAAATGTGGGCGCATCCTGCCTTGCAGCCACTGGTCAATGGTGTTTGGTAACTTGAACAGCTAAATCGATGGTGTTAAATGTTTTGTATATTAAACGTTAGCCAAACAAATTCTAATGATTTTCTGATAATTACTTAACGAGTTGTTACTCTTAATAAGATTTTAGTGTATTATAAATGTTTCATTACCAACAAAAGTAAAAATATGCGACAACTCATGTTGACTGTCCGGACGATTTAGCTGCTGTATGCGTATGTTTCGTTGCCTATCTTTTGAAAACTTTAATCTTTAATTTCTAATGATATCATTGAAGATGGATAAACAAGATCTACTTACATTCCAAATTTTATGATAAGTTGGATCTACTTACATTCCAAATTTCATGAAAATCGTATTAATTTTTAAAAAGTCGACAAGTTTGTTTTTACTTCCAGAATGAGATCACAATGACATAATTTTTGAAATTAAAAAAATCTGAAATAGCAGATTTAAACTAAATGTTTCGAGGTACTCAAAGAAAAAAAAAATTAGTAAAGTTGGTCAAATAATTACAAAGTTACAGCTATGTAGATCAAATTTTTCGTCAGTAAAATTCAGGGATTTCGGATTCGTAAAACGTTTTGAAAACGTTTCCAAAGCCATCACCCGTTCTTGGGGGGTAGGTCAAAGTTTCAGAAAGGTGCTATGGTTAGATTCTGAGATATAAGCTCGACAGAAAAAACACAAAAGGCCTAATAATATTTACAAAAACAACAGTGTTTCAGACAAGCTACACAGTGTGAAACCCTAATAATAATCTTAACAAAAACAATATTAATAGTGTTTAACACAAGCTGCGCATTGTGAAACCCTAATAATAATTGGAATACCGGGTATAAACAGTAATGTCACACAAGCTATGCAGTATAAAACACTAAGTGAAATTGAGCGAGAGTGTTGAAACATGATGTATAGTTTCATTACATCAATATCTTGACTATGTTAAGCAGGGTGATAAGCAATTGACTTTTGAACACGATAACTTTGATTCTAATGTGGTGACCTTAATGAAACTTGGTGTATAGTTTTACGGCTACTGATGAGCAATATCTGCTTAAAGGTCACCGTAAAAGGTTCATATATTTTTTAAATAATGCAAGTAATTATGTCAACATATCCTTTCCATAAGTATAATGTCAATATTACCTGCAACAGGTAAATTTCAACATTAGAAATTTCCACCATTCTCCGTGGGTATATTTCTATGTGCAGAAGGAATAAAATGACGTCACAGATTGCTTATTGACGAAAAGTTACGACTACCCATGGAGACCGGCGGAAATTACTAATGTTGAAATTTACCTGTTGAAATATTGACATTCAGGTTCGGGTTATACTTATGGAAAGGATATGTTGACATAATTACTTGCATTATTTTTAAAAAAATTGATGCTTTTCCGGTGACCTTTACTAACTAGAGATAGCAATTTGATAGGTTGAGACTTTGGAACACAATAACTCTGCTTCTAACCGAGATTGACTGTTTCAATTTAGTGTAGATGTTCTTTAGATGATCAACATTTTTTGCTTTGAAATAATATGATTTTTTGATCGCTTGGGGCATAAAAAGGTTGGCTCTAATTCATAGATGATGGTTTGATGCTTTATAGAAGATAAATGGGCAGGATACAACAAACCTAAAAATAAAAACAAAGAGAAAATCAGTTGATATTCCAAGTAAAAGTCAATTAAGGATCCAAAGTATAATCAATAATACTGTTATAAGCTTCATTTCAGAACAAAATAATATTTTACTGCCATGGTATGTTCAAATCAGTAAATATTTCAGCTCATGTCTGATAAAATTATTTTTACATTTTGGGTAAAAAAATAACCTGAAAAACCTGTGGTATCATATCTGGTACCATGTCACAAACTGATCTACTGAAAAAATTCTAATCCATCACAGATGTTAAAAAATGTTTATTTATGTCCTAATGTATTTAGCTAAATAGTGGTTAATGCATGAAAAAAATCATCAAACATACCTGTTAAGCATAAATCAGCAGTTAATTTCAAATGAGAATGCCAGAATTTCTCTGACTGGGGGCTGCCATCTTTGAAGGAGTAGTTATAACCAGTTACCTATAGAGGGCAGGCCTGTAGGGTATCAGTAATGCTACCTTAGGTGTTTGTGGACAAATAGAGAGTGACACAAACAGATATAAAAAAAAATTTTTTTTTTTTTAATTGAATGATGATGGGTAGTATCATATATGACGCCGCAGGCGTTCTAGGAATGTCATTTATTTAGTTTAGAAATGAGGCTGTTGTATGACTAAGTGATTTAAATGCAGATACCTAATATGGGTGTAAACAAGATTGAAATCTTAATGCTACTTTAATGTCTGAATTTTATACCACAGTTGAATATATTTCACATATATTGTGGCCTGAACTTTGATTGTGTGTAGGTTAACAGATTTATAAAAAGTGATCATAAGTACAAAATCCCAATCTAAATATTTTCACATAGCATTCTGTTATACTGTATAAATATTGATATCATGCTTTCATTTCATAAGCCCACATTTCAGTGTGGGCGTATTATGTCGTCACCCAGTCCATCGGTTCGTCTGTCAACAATTGGTGAAAGCCATAGAGGATTTTGGTGTGAAGCATCAGGGTTATGAGAGGATGAAACCCTATCAATTTTCAGCTTTCCACGTCTTTTTTTCTGGAGTTACCCCGCCCCCTTCGCCGAAAACCTTATGAACGTGATACAGGCTACTTGTTTTAATGAAATTTGACTGTAAGCATTGGGGTCATGAGAGGATGAATCTTATTGATTTCAGCTTTTTACGACTGTATGCTCCAGAGTATATATACCCCCTTTGCGAAAACCTTGTGAACGCGAGAGAGGCAGTAGGTTTTAATAGATGTTTTTTTCTTTTTCAAATTTGGTTCAAGCAATGAGGTCATGAGAGGATGAACCCTAGAGATTAGTTTACTTCAAGAATCCCAAATCATTATCAAATTTTCTCAACATCCAAGGTTTCTTTTTGGATAAGCTGCACTTGAGACAAAGCTCCGATTTTGGCATATTCCATGATTTGCATGGCTATCTTGTATTTCTTTCAAAACGAACACCTATTTGATACTTTTTGTCAAATTTTGATTAGGCTTTAGTATTATAATTTTTATATGCCCACATAGAAATGTGGACGTATATTGCCGTCGCCCCCGTCCGTCCGTCCGTCGGTCGGTCCATCCGTCCATCGTCCACAATTTCTTGTGAACGCTCTAACGCCAAAAGTTATCATCCAGTTGTTTTAAAATTGATATATGTTGTTTGCATTAGTGAGATGAAGAAGCCTATTTAAATTCAATAATTTCTTTTTATTGCGTCTAGAGTTATGGCCCTTGTTTCACTTTGTTGAACATTGTGAACGCTCTAATGCCAAAATTTAACATCTGATCTTTGTGAAATTTATATGCAATATTTAAATTAGGGAAAAGAAGAAGCCTATGAAATTTCAGCAATTTCCGTTTATTACTTCTAGAGTTATGGCCCTTGTTTCACGTTGTTTAACCTTGTGAACGCTCTAACGCCAAAAGTTATCATCCTATCTTTCTGAAATTGATATGCTTTATTTAAATTAGTAAAACGAAGAAGCCTATCTTTCTGAAATTTATATGCTTTATTTGAATTAGTAAAACGAAGAAGCCTATTGAATTTCAGCAATTTCCGTTTATTACGTCGAGAGGTATGGTCCTTGTTTCACTTTGTTTAACCTTGTGAACGCTCCAACGCCACAAATTATCACACAATCTTTGTGAAATTTATATGCATGATTTAAATTAGTGAAACAAAGAAGGCTATTTAATTTCAATAATTTCTGTTCATTACGTCTAGAGCTATCTTGCGTCACTTTATTGAACCTTGTGAACGCTCTAACACCAAAAGTTATCATCTGATCTTTCTGAAATTTATATGCATTATTTAAATTAGTGAAACGAAGAAGTCTATTGAATTTCAGCAATTTCTGTTTATTACGTCTAGAGTTATGGCCCTTGTTTCACTTTATTGAACCTTGTGAACACTCTAACATCAAAAGTTATCTGCCGATCTGTATGAAATTTGCATGCATCATTTTAATTAGTAAAGAGAAGAATCCTATTGAATTTCAGCAATTTTTGTTTATTACTTCTAGAGTTATGGCCCTTGTTTCACTTTGTTCAACCTTGATAATGCTTGATTGATGAAAGTTATCATCCGATATGTATGAAATTTATATGCATCATTTAAATTTCTGAAACAGAGATCTATTGAATTTCAGCAATTTCCGTCAATAATTTCTAGAGTTATGGCGGTTGTGAACCTTGTGAACCTTGTGAACGTTTGAATGACAAAAGTGATCATCTGATCTGTATGAAATTTAGATGCATTATTTAAATTAGTAAAACGAAAAAGCCTGTCAAATTTCAACAATTTCTGTAGATTTCTTCAAGAGTTGAGAACCTTGTTTCAGTTTGTAGAACCTTCTGATCTGTATGGAACTGTCTTGTAAAGGCCCCCAATTACCTACAAAGGAATAAATATGCGACAACCCTTGTCGACCGCTCGGACGATTTAGCTGTCGTGGGCGTATGTTTAGTTGCCTGGCAACATACCTTTATTTCAGGCCCTTCTCGGAGATTTCGCCGTGTTTGTGAACATTTACAGACATTAATGTCAACACCACGTGGTGAAAGTCTTCATCAGCGTAAAATTAGCACAGACAGCACAGTTTCCTACGCATCTGAACATGTTCCGCCAACTTACTGTTCCTTAGTTAAAGAAAATGGAGATGATGCAAGCGTAAGAGTCATTGTTTGTTTATTTATATTACTAATTAAACATCATCTATACATGGTGTGCTATCAACGCTTTGTGATTCCTTTCTTTAAAGATAGATTATGGGAGATTAGGTAAATATAGCTGGCAGTTCTCACTATAATAGTTAAAAGCTAGATAATGTAAAGGGAATTTTCTGAAAAACGATCCACTCTGAACCGAGAATTTAGCAATTGAATTTTCAGCCTAGCCTCGGTCATCATTACTAAAGTCGGTACGATAATGAATGAAAGTTGAGCAGCAAATCGGATCCTAATCCAGTAAATATTGCAGGCTAGCGATGACATCGAGAGTTGATTTTAACCTGGATAAGTTAATGTCTAATTAATAATTTAGATAACATTTCAGGCCTAAAGAAAGACCTGCAATAATAGGGTTACCCGTGAAGTGAAAATTATCCCTACAGAAAGCGGACTCAACACGGCGAATGTGCACTCTTCAGTGTCTTGTCTCGAAGGAATTTCTGGCTAACTACGCAGTATGATAATACTCAGTGCTAGAGTCTACGAGACTATAAATAGCCATCGCACATGCAATTCTCTACACATCTATCAATTATTACAGCCGTAAAAAATCTATTGTTGACGATTCTGAATAGCAGTAATATTTAGCTTTTTGGTTATTACAGCATCTTTAGAAATTACATTTGTTTTATTTTTTAAATTGCTTTGTCATTAACTGTACCGTTCCGTTATGAGCGGCATCTTTTGGTTTAGTATAAATAATATCTCTGAAACACTAGCGTTAGGCAAGAACATGATGCTAGCAGTAGTTTCATTTTACTTTTACAAGGTTCTTAAAACAATTGTTGAGTTGCCAAACGTGCATGTTTCTAAATTCAATTTCTTGTTCCAGCTTTCTGTTATGTTTCGTAAAAAAGTAGTCTTGATTATCCTAGCCTGTCAATCAGACGTAGAATGGTCGGTAGACTGGTTTAAGTGAGACTAATTTCAAAACCTATTTTTTACTCACAAATGCCCGGATGTTATGGCCGACAATCGTAACCATCTTTCAGTGTATTATTTATGGATTGTTAAATGGTCATAGCTTATTAAGTACAACATGACCGTTTATTTAATGACTATAAAAGTGCGAAACTGATTTAAGGCTAGGTGTATATATAAATATTGTGGTGTAATTGTCTAGATATTTGGAGATATTTATTTATGTTAATTGGGTCATCCTAGAAGTAGGCAGATGCATGTTAAAGTTTGTACAATATAATATGATCTATCAATCCCTCCAAATGTTCATTCATATCCACCCATATGACAGCCTACTCAGCACAATCATTGCACATTTATAGACATGATTTCTTTTTATTGTGAACAGTTTAGTTATTAAGATTTGCAGAGATTGGCTTATGTAAAAGGAAAAAAAATACATAGAACTTTGTTACACTTTTCTCTAATAAGCAGTTTTAAGAGATGAATTTTAAGATTTCATATATTGTTGAGCCAAGTTGTACAAATTAGATACAACCAATTTGAATTTGATTATGACCAAAAATAATCTTGGGAGATAGTTGAGGAAATACATCGAAAGCTGCACTTGATACATGTGTGACTTGGAATTGGAATTGGGTATGAACTGGTTCAGTTATTATTTTGCGTCATAATATTCTGTGAATATTATGTCATATTTGGAAATTGAACAGCGTGGCTGGAATCTGTTCTCTAGAGCTCTATTTTTATATAGATTTTTTTTTACGGATGTCTGTCCGCCTGTCTGTCCATCCACAATCGTTTGTGAACACTCTACAGGTCACAATTCTTATCTGATCTTTACGAAAGTTGAAATATAGGTTTATCTTCAAAAGATCTTGGTTGCTTTCAATATTGGCATGTATCAGATCGAAACTATTATGTTCGTTGTAGACAAACATTTTTTAGTCAGGAATGATTTACATCAATAATAGTCAGTAATATTAATTAAATATCTAGATTCTTGTGGAGCGTTTTCATATGGCCCTTATATGTCTATTGCGAGATCTAACCATGGCCCTTCCGATGGTTCTTTAGGATAAAGAGGAGCAGTAGAAGGTTTTTCAGCACACATAACAATTTACCTTATAACATGTCAATCTTACGATATTGTCATGTTTACATGCCGCCCATCTTTCATAGTTTTGTAATATTATCCTATGTAACCTAGATCTTGTCTGATTGTAAAAGTTATGTTACAATTATTTTACTCATTGTTCATTACTTTTGTTGGTGTGATTTGTCTTGTTGGGCACAACAGCTCAATCGGGATGCCTTTAGAGCTGTGTCTGGCCGGTTAGATGGGTTTCGATTCAGCCCAACGATTATTTGATCCTCAGAAGCATGAGGTTCTTCGGGTAATTGCTTGATAGTTTTTAATAATCACATATATTTAATGCAATCGAATTATACTTAATTACTCTCAGAGCCTGTGCTTCAGTCGTCATGTAATAAATTGACATTTTCACACCAACAATATTGTCTTTGTTATTTGTCTTAAAGATTGTCTTCCAGGTCAGAGAGCACAAAAAGATACTATCGTGATAATAAATTTTGTGCTATGCCCGTCTGTCTGTTGTTTACATACGGGCAACTAGCCCGTACCATTTCCGGTGGCGCGTCGATCAGTTTCCCGCCACTGGAACTAGTGCGCGATTTCTATCCTGCTTGGATAGGTGTCTGTGATAGACTGTGTTTAGAATATTTTTGGAGTTGCCCTCCCTCCACCCCATCGTCCATCCTAGTTGTGGATGTTTTGTTTGGTTGCCATTGCTTATGGTGGGTTTACTGTTGGTCAGTGCCTTCTTTTATTGTGGTTGCCTTTTGTATGTCTGCCATTGCTTATGGCTTTGCCGGTTAGATGGGTTTCGATTCAGCCCAACGATTATTTGATCCTCAGAAGCATTAGGTTCTTCGGGTAATTGCTTGATAGTTTTTAATAATCACATATATTTAATGCAATCGAATTATACTTAATTTCTCTCAGAGCCTGTGCTTCAGTCGTCATGTAATAAATTGACATTTTCACAGTTGCCCATATGTAAACAACAGACAGACAGGCATAGCACAAAATTTATTATCACGATAATATCTTTTATTAACGAAACTTTCAACATCTTTTTCTATTCCGCACCAATAAGCTACTGCTCGTAAATTCTGTTTTGTAGCAACAATTCCTCGATGACCTTCATGTGCGAGATATAAAACATCACGTTGTAGAGATTTGGGTAAAATAGTTCTACTACCTCTACCGATACAGCAATTAACAAATAAGAATAATTCATCTTTCATGTGATAATAAGGGAGAACTTCTGAATTAATATCTTTCTTTGCAGGCCATGAGTTTAACAAATAGTTATGGACTTTATTAAGTATGTCATATTTCATGGTTTCGGATGAAATAACATTAGGAGACAATCTGACAGTTTCGGTGGTTAATGAATTACATAAACTAATGACTTGTGGTCTGTAATTAAAGATACATTATGGGTTGACTTTAATAGAGAGTTGGCCATTCTTGCTATAACAGTTCAAAAATAGTTGATGACAGAAGAATATATTGAAAATTTCAGTCAAATTACTTTATTCTGAACAAAGTTATCACCATTGTAATTTTTGACTAGAAATAGGATTCAACTCTCTCTTCACCGTCTCCGAGAATGGCTGATCGTTTGATTGACAGGCGTTAACTCCACCTACATAATCTCGATTATCAAGTAACGTTTTCAATGGCTGTGGTACCGTTAGCCTATTCGGTTTGAGACGGGGTTGCAATTCATTTCGTATCACATTTATTTTTACTACAAATTAAAAATAAGACTTTTAATATATAGATAAGAAGTGAAAGTTTGAAAAGAATGGACCAAATCAATGAGGCATAATTATTGCCGACTTCTTGTTAGCCTGGGTGTACTCTTGTACTGTAACTGGTAGGGCTACGTAACTCCCGAAGCACACATATAGGAAACAGTGATCCAATGGGGCTACAATTCAACTGGGGTGATGTTGGCTGCGATGTTTATCAATTTCCATAATTTTTCTGTAAACGCAAGTGACAAAAGAGCGTATAATACTGACATCCAAAGTCTCATTTTAACCACAACTAAACATTCAATCAAATTGACTGACAAGCGGCCTGGCTTCATACACTCTATCATTTAGCCTCGATCTAAAGTTTCCGGGAGTATGACGTCAACGTAAAGGTTAATTTCCGCTTACAACGCCATTTAAAAATTTAATCAATCAATGAAATCCTGTTAAAATCCAAGCCATCCGTGGGTCTACAGAGTTGATTTTGCGCTTGTTGTGTAAATAAAGATCTAATTTATAATTTCTATGACATCTGAAACCTAAATAAAGACTTGCCATAATCAGATTTAGCTCTTGCATAATGTATGTTTAACTTAAAATGTCGACCTCTCAAATATCTATCCCACTCCTTGACTGCCCATGTACACGCATGACCTATACTATATTTTCTTTCATAGTTATTCAAAATTTTTGAGGCAAAAGCAACCGGGCAAATTTCTCTATTGGCTTGTAGTTGACTACTGTCTGAACCATCAAAAATTTTAAACGGATTTCTTCGATTATGAACAAACTACTTGATTTTGGTTAATATAAACTTACCTGTGTGTTTGAAATTACCTCCCGTTAAATAAAATCCATTGTACAACTAAATATCCCAGCGAATAAAAAAGTTCTCTCTTGTAAAATTGAACTCCTCACAAACTTTGACATCGGGAAATCAAAAATGGAAGCTAATTACGTCACTTATCTGGACAGATCATTTCGTATAAGGGGGTCTCAGCAAAGCTTGTCTATCGTAACGGTGTTTGGCTCTTTTACGACAATTCAAATTTTGTGTATGAATAAGCTATTGCTCTCGGACCAGTAATGAGTTTGGGCATTTACAAACATAAATACGCCCGTAGTCCGTTATTTTGTTTCGGTCTTGTATTAATTATTTGGTTAGAGAGT